ATCGATGTTGCGCCATCCTTTCACAGAAGCTGACTACAGCACCTTGAACTGGTCCCGGGTACTGTCCTCGACCTCAGCGGCTTTTGGAAAAAATTGGTACCGAAGTCAGAGGAATGCAAAAGCCTTCTTTTCGTTCAGTTTTACAATATGATAGCTTCCCCACCCTTGTCTGATTATTTCCAATAGAAGAAAATATTTGTAGTTACAGTTATAGCGAGCGTCATTTCCAATGGCGTGCTCTCAGAAACTTTGATGGACCAAGGACTTACAAATTTAATTGTTGCAAATGTTCAAATTCTTTTTTACAAGTTTATGTAAAAACTGAAAACTAACCTAGTTATAGAAGAAGGACGAAGAGAGGCGAGTTCACTTTTTTGTGATTGTTTGAATAATTTAGGGTAGTTAATAATTTCTACACACCAACAGCTCCCGAATGAACACATTTCGACACAGAGACCTGCCTGCCTTTTACTTCCGAAAAGGTAAGTAGATCTCGCCGATTAGTTGTGCGTCGATGTGGTCTTCGAGACGATATACAGATCGAAGGAAGTACCTCCAAATACCCTTCGAGGCTCCTAGCTCACAGTCGACTCTACGATGTACGTATGCGACACTCCTAACTGTGTGGTACGCCCTCATTGCAAAAAGGACTGCATGAAGATAGGATCGATCTCCTCTATACGTTGTAAATGCGAGTAGACAGGAGAAGTAGGTCGTCCCCTGTGCGACCGGGTCAAGGAACATTTAAATAGGCTGGCTGGCACGAATACATCTATAAGATCAACATGTTTCATTCGACGGAGGCTGATCCTGTAACGTTTCAAGTCATTATTGGAATTTGAAGCCGAGATCACGGCGCGCACGTCATTGTAAGGGGAGTGAGAGTCCACTATTTGGCCGTATCCCATGACTTAGCAGTCTGAAGCACCTTCTTCGCGAGAAGGAATACTCAGAAGATTACCTGCAGCAGTGGAGAGAAAAGAGCAATAGGCCATGTGCTTGTAAGAAGATCGTCTCTAAAATCTGGTAAGGATATTAAGGTACTGACTAGCGATGAATTGGCCCCACTGCACAAGCCTATTCTAGCAAACATAGAGCTCCTTGAGAACTCAAGGACTAGAACGAAGTGGAAAAACTGGTGATGGAGGCTGCATCAAGCCGAAAGAGTGGAACTCAACCGGAAGATGCTGGAATCTAGTCTCTCAAATCCTGGAGGACTGATCCAGCTGACCTGGAGCAACACTGTAAAAGTCATCCTACACTGGAAATGTTAAGAGAGACTCGGATTACGAGGAGATAAGGAAGCATGGTTCTGGAACAATGAAGTCCAGCAAATCGTGATGTAAAAGAAGTCGGTCACAAGCGGTGACGGAAGAAGCGAGCTCTAGAAGACCTAGCTGTCAAGAGAACTTCTAAGAGGCTCGCCAAGCTTGCTGTCGCGAAAGTAAAGAATAAGGAAATGGATGCCTCGTACGAAAAACTCAGTGGCCGAAAAGGGGAGAAGTTTATCCTTCGGCTGGTGAAAGCGCGACACCGAGCCTCTCAAGACATCGAGTAATGAAGTCCGTTAAGAAGAGGGAGGGTGCAACAGTGAGGAAGCCTGGTGAGGTCAGCCATTGTTGAAAAGAATCATTCGACAGCCCTTCGAACGAAAAATCCACACTGAGAACAGCCCTAAGATAGAGGACACGGCTGGTCTCATTGCAATTAGGACAGAGGATGAGGCGCTTAAGGCGATTGGGAAGATGAAGGCTAAAAAAGCCACTGGTCCGAATGTCCTCCAACGAGAGCACGGGGTCAGGTGGCTCACCAATTCCTGAACACTGTGACCACCAAAAGAAAAATACTAGGTGCCTGGAGGTACAGCACCGTCGTTCTCATATTCAAGCAGATGGGAGTGGAATGTTTCATCTATGACTCCTGACTTCCCTGATAGCCGACACTAGAGAAGATCTTCAGGCAGAAAGTGCTGGCTGATAGTGAACTCCAGCAGAGCGTGAAGAAAACCAAGTTCTTAAGTTTTGAGAAGGGCACGGAGTCAATCGCAAACGGTCTCGGAGAAACCATCCAAAGAGTACAAGTCTCCGATACTTGGGGTGTAATCTAGCTTTTGACGGTAGCGTGGACTAGGCTGTAGAAGCCCGAATAAATGAGCACGGATGAAGTGGAGGGAATCTAGTGATGTTCTCTGCGATCGACGGCGGTCTTGCACGCTCAAAAGAGATGTGAACTAGGCAGTGGTGAGGCCTGTGGTAGCGAGTGCTGGCCCGTAAGTAGAAATCAGAGATACAGTTTCACACCGCTGGGAAGAGGATGCTCAGACAGTCCTGTGGTTGGGCGCGACTGGATTGGATCAGAAACAAAGAAGTCAGAGCGTTTACGCGAACAGCTTCTGTCCAGATGAAGATGAGAGAGCAGCGCCTATGATGGTGCGGACACATACCGAGATCATCGAAACATCCATCAAGGAAGGCAATGAACACCCAGACTTCAGGGAAGCGACCGCAAGTAGTTCCAAAAAAAGTTGACGAAACGTGATCAAGAAAGACTTCGTGGAAGCTAAAGTAATGGCAAAAGATGCCGTAGATATGAAGAATAGGAAACGATAGACAATAATAGCGGACCCCGCAACGGTGTGGGATTGCTGCCAGAAGTGTATCCCTGTAGATGAGCAACCTGCTTGGTCAACCAAACCCTTATTTTTAGGTGGTAACAATAACAACAATGTCAAAGACGAACTGCTGGATGTTAACGAACATTCTTACAATGTCGGACTATTCGTCACTATTGAAGATTTTCGGTGCATCTAATAACGGAATGAAGGATAAATGCGATTTTTTCATCTCCCTTACCCCTAACACTCCATGGGTGGCGGCGGTAGAATAGTCGCAGGAAAAGACCTGATTTTGATACTTCATGTATCATGTAGAACATACTTTATCAGTCCCAATAAATGTCATAATAAAAAATCACTACAATTCCACGAACCCAATGTAAATTACTCGGATTCTAAGACTCAACCAGATCACAAAAAACCTGACTGTTCATGACTACTGTGTAGAATCCCTCATTAGGTGCTTATACTATCTTTCGCTCTTCATCGCTTCTTAAGATCGTGTCTCTCTTCAAGCAAATAATACAACCTCAAGCATCACGGATCTTTGAATTTTTGACGGCTATAACAAGCCCACCATGGAACCTATCGCTATGTAGTATCGATTCCTGTCGGCTTGCTGAATCACTGGTTAACAACCGTGATCATCAAATTCGTAACGTGTATTGAATATGTAAATACTACATAAATATGAATATGAATCGCGACAAAACAATCCTCCCATCCTAGCATTATGGCTGCTAGCCTTCAACCCTTCGACCCAAAACCTTTTCGAACCTATTCTGTGATGCTACGGTTCCAGTTTCGCGATTTTATTATAGGAGCTGTGCTGCCTCACCTTTATTCCAGATAGTACTTCGTTTGTCATTCGAATTCGCTCGTCCTTCAATTGCATTTGTTGAACAGTCCAACGCTTTGAAACCAAGGACATGCATATATTGAATGGAATCAATGAAGCCTATAATTGTGCTTTATGATTGGAATGGTGCTACGTATGCATGCCTTGAAAACAAATCCTTCAACTCGCTGAGAAGCATATTACCATCACCAAGAATCCAGCAATAACGGCATATCCCACTGTTTGCCATAGAAGAAACATGCAGATGATGATCTCAAAAAAAAGCAGTTATTCATCAGTAAAACTAAGGGCAAAAACCGACTGTGACCTACATGATAACACAACAAGGAAATTGAACACCTTCCTAATACCTCTTAGGCAGTTTCATAGCGCATATCACAATACCGCCCTGACCTTACCCAGTGGAGCTATGTGAATTCGCTACGTACAAATGCTGGAGGTGTAGCTGATATTCAGCCAAAATTCATATAAAATGCCTCACAAGGTGAGTGGTCAAAGCACACTCCATGTAGTTCCGAATACAGCCACTATTTCATCGATGTCCAGTTTTTTTTTCGATTTTACTCGCATCTCAAAAAGAGCACACGAGTTCGCTTCCTCAACCATAAAGGGTGATATGATCCAAAAATGTTGGAATTGGTTGAAGGCTGTTGGTGAAACTGAATTGTGACGAAAAAGGATTTGGGTGCGGAAACGTTGCTCAAGTATCAGATTAGTTTCCTTTAGCTACTAGACTTGCTAACTGGGTGCGTCGAATTCGAAAACATGCTATTCGTCTTTCAATTCCACGAAGAGTCGTCTCCTCAAAAGCCCCACTGACATTTCGATCAACTATGATTTTTCTACGAATTCGATGAACACTCCAATTAATTACTTCGGTCGCTCGCCTGGTATCAACTTCCCGCTGTCGATTCCTTTCACTTCAAATTCACAAGGTTCATGGCCTTGAGATCACATTTTGTAGAGAAATCATGTGCAGACACCGTTTATGTTTGGAGAGTAACGAAATCCTACTCATTAACTGAATCGTGTGCACTAAAATCCAAGTTCAGCATTTCTTCTTGCCCAGTATATTTCCCATAAGTGTACTATGATTTGTTTAATACTGCTTTGCCGTACAGGTTTGTTATGGTTGAACCGCTTTATTGTTCAACGTTTCGACTGAATCGTCCTCTTCAGGACCTGAAAATAGTTCGAAGCCTCTGATCTGCGACTTACCCGACCAAGCGCCCAAACGCGCTAGGCTAGTTGCAATAACTCCCCGAAACTAAAACGCGGAAAAGCTTCCAGTAAAAAGACCAACCTTCCGCGAAACGTTGACCAATAAAGCGGTTCAACCATAACAAACCTGTACGGCAAAGCAGTATTAAACATTATGTAAAATGCCCAGGTTTCAAGAAGACCGAACATGGAAGTTGTACTATGATTATTTATTGTGGTATGAAATGGAATGTGATCGAGGGAAATATGTTGTTAAGAAGTTTCACGCGACTTTCAGACAACCTCCAACTCTTGGTTTTTATCTGATCATTCACAGCACATAAGCCATGATTGTGTAAGCACATCTGCTCCAGCATCAATAATTTCGTTGTAGTTCCTAATATTCTCAGTGGAACTCGGTTCAAATATAATAGAATCATGAAGCTTCAAGGTATCATAGTTATTGAGCCCTTGGGGCATAATTTTGACAATATCCATATCCAACTGGAAATGTTTATAAAAAGATAGTTCTTAGTTCGATGCGACAAACGTTAATGCATCCAAATCCCTTCCAATACTGAAGACATACCTGCAAGGGACTACTCCAATACTGTTGGAGCTGCGGTGTAATCAAACGAAATCGGTCAACATCGATTGCCATCAGATTCACGATTTCACCATGAGTTTTCAAACGTCTTGACGAACTTGAAAGTTTGAGAGCCTAGATAGTTAGTGGCTCGCATTCAGCTCTAGATCCTAATATTAATAAATGAGACTAACTGAAAGAAAGTAACTCAATCATTCGACCTCACCTTGTTGTAGACCGCTGCAGTGAGAGTACTTTGGATTTTCGTTCCTACACGGAACATCACAGTGAAGTAGTTATTCATGAAAAGAGAACGAAGCATGGCAGATACGAAGAGACCTGCTGAGTAGAACAGTCCTTCATAGAGAGGGGCGCTTGAGTTTTCGGTAAATGTGATGAGCAAGCTGAACAACAGTATTATACTATTCAATATAATCAGAACATTTTAGGGGAGTGCTTGCAATGCTCTGAAGTTCTGGTCTAAGGAATACGCCATTTCTTTTTCCAACGCAGCTTCAAGACTTTTACAGGTTTTAGAGAGCTGGATGGATACGCCATCTCAGAGCGAATCATTTTCAATCACCTTCTATCCACTCAATGCTTTCTTCCGTCTCGAGGGGTTGATTAAGACCCAACTCAGGACAACCAACCAAAGACCGCTCAGATCCCAAAGAACACTTCATACCGTCGCAGCCGAATCATTTATTTTGATGGAATCACCAATCAATTCCCAGTTTCAATAGGCATAATGGGGCCTAGCCTGTAGGAATGCTTAATCAATCAAATTCGCTAAGTCACAGTTTGGAACCCCTCACAATTCAGCTGTTACCAAGGTTCACCGTTTTACACAAGTAGTTTATGATCTGAGATCTAAGTTACAAACCTGAGAAAAGCCGGGTTGGCAAACTGAATTATGTCGGAGAGAAATTTGATAGCACTTCCGCCAATCAATTCCCATTTGAATAATCTCCACAATACCGCAATAATCGAAGGTAGTTCATCATCTAAGGTAGAAGGATGCTATTATCTAGCGAAAGCTTTCTAAGAAGCTTATATATTTTGACAAAGAGGCGCCAACCGTGACTTACCATCATTCTGGACTTTTGGTTTACTTCGCGTCCCATAATTCTTGCCATTATTGAGCAAGAGCGGAGACTTCTCGTCAAGGATATTGTCATCCAATGGAAAAGAGTGCGCTTGTTTCCTTTGCTCGTAATCTGAGCTTATTATTAACAAACTAAGTTCACAAAAAAGCCATTACAATAACAAACAAGAGTTATCAATTCACTTCGATATGGGAAATTGATGTTGAGAAACAAACTACCTTTCAGTGCTTTGTTCCATTCAGTTTCCCACTGTGCCATGAGATTCTCCGATTTCAAGCCATCGTCCAACTCGAACAAGTCGTCAATCTTAAAAGAAGTGCTTACCAATATAAGAATTGTTAAGAGTAAACAAAAGACTTACTTACATCAAGAGTTTTTTTGTAAGCTCTCGATACTAATGGTCCGAACCACCAAAGAAGTTGCCGGTTGGGAAACGAAGCAGATACTTCTGGATGTGTTTCTGTGTACTCGAAGTGCTGCAAAGATAAAATTCTGTTCTGGTTTTGGGTTTAAGATCTAAGTTGAAATAAACAGAACGTTGACCACTCCGGTTTCTGCTGCATAACAACGTGCGCAACAAACGTAGCCTTTGACAACTTCCTCACTATTGCGCTCGACAATAAAGAGTGATCAGTGCTTACGTAAATTCCGAATGATAAATTGAATGGAATTTGGATTGTAAAGAAGAGCGGTGGCTCTAAAAAATCATATAGCACTAGTGAAAATCGAAATATTACTACTATTATTACTACTTGGATCGCTCAGCTAACGCCGGACTTCCTGTGACGAGATTGGGATGTCCTACTGACCCAGGGCATCTTTTTCCATCCAAATGATGCAGCACCTCCGTTAGTAGAACTTCAGATGCGAAAATGGCAAGCGAAATTATGCGAGCATCCCAGCATGGAAGGGAGAAACTATCAGAATCGGAGCAATGCAGCATTTTATGATAGTTGATGACTTCACGATTATAATCATGAGCCCTACCCGTTAATCTTGATCTCAACAATAATCACTCGTCAATCATAAAATCCATTTCTCTCTCTGGATTCTCAGGAACAGTGACAGTTCATAATATAGTTTAACGACATGATTAGTCAACCCGGACTATGAATGACAACAATAATGTCGTCTGATAATAGAAACAACATCGACTATCAAGCAGATGTTACCCAAGGCCTTTCTGTATTCCTGGAAAGCCATGAATTGAGAAGCTGCTAGGAAGCGTTTGTGGCTTTGTTAGACTTGGCTGTCGAAAACTAGGGGAACATGATCTCTTATTGAGTCTCACTTCTATCGTAGTCTAGCAGAAAGCAACAAACCAAATTTTGTCTCCGTATGACAGGAGCTACAGATGCCATTTACGCTGCCTGGAGAACATACAGCATAGCGTCAGAGCTACGAGCTACAAGGTACCTCCATGACAAAAACAGTAAAATGTTCCTCTAATAATCAGCGTAGCATAGGATCGCTTACCAGAGGTAAACTACCGGAGGGAAATTGACTATTACGGTGATCTGAGCTTTCAATGCACAAACGCCATAACAGTGTGTTTTTGACTGTCTAAGACAGGAAGCCACCCCCCTCATTACGCCGTGTCCGATAAAAGTCCAAAAAAAATTGTTAGGAACATGCAACAACAGAGGCATGGGCCGTGTAGGTGTTCTCCTCAATACGCACTTGACCATAAAACTCTGCGAAACTCTTATAGCCCGGATGTCTGCTATTGAGAAGACGGGAATCAAGTCAGCTTTAACAGTCTTCGTCGCCTACGCAGCAACATCTATTTCCAAAGAGAGACTGGAAGCTGCAGCATCAATCTCCGTAGATGAGGACTGAAAGGTTCGCTTCACATGGACATGGAATAGCTTTTTAGAGTTCCTCTCACTCTCTTTAAGTTCGTCGGCAACTCCAATGCCACTATTGGCCCATAAGCTGAAGAGCTACATATTGCACTCATGGAACGGCTTGGAATGAGCAGGATAAAAGGTTGTACGAGTCTAGCATGTCAACCACACCACCCATAGTAAGTCACGATTTTAGAAGCCTTCCCGTTTTTGATACACTTAAGAATCACCTCATAGACAGTTCCGTGATTGAGTCTTTAAACGCAAGTTTTATCTAGATGCGATCATTCCCGGCCTACTTACGGAGAAACACCGTCATTCACAAATCGGCGGACCGACGCGTCGAACATATTCACAATAGTACTAGGTAAGCTAAAAGCTAACAGGTCATCATAATACGCATTTCTCGAAAAACTATCGAACTGAAGCGCCAGAGTGTTGCTCTCGTACGAGCTGAAGGTCGTTGCAAGTCAACGTTCAAGCCAGAGTAGCTATGCAGAAGAACGATCCAAATCAAATATTTCCACTCACGCTCCCCCTCCTGAGACGCCTGGGGCTCTGAAAAATTTGGCTCTGAAAAATTTGAGCGCTCCTGGTTTACACTAGATTTTCCACGCACACCCGCCATCTATGAGCGGAATTCAGTTTTCTAACCTACCGTAGATGTTCCCATCCCATCTCTTGTAACCCTACCGAATTCGAACGCTGTAGGTCTGAGGAAACAAGAACTACGAATTCACACACATACATACAGGGCGTCCCGAGAATATGGGCGCCAATTCATGGCAATGTATTTAAACACTCGCAGCAATGTACTCAGAGCTTTGCAGCTGAGAATGACAATGGAATATATATATAAATATAATATATATGTATATATACACGTTTGCTAACATTATGTGCTACAACATGCTACAAAAACATTTCAAAATACCCCTCATGAGCGCTGATAAAAGCCAAAAATTTGCTCTCGAACTGTTCGCGCTCTGCACGCATTTATCCTCTTTCACTCCTTCCAGCTGTCCTTCAGTCTTGCCTTCTTAGACTCGCAACTGGGATTGCAAACTCGACAGGCTCTCTACTAGTCAAAAACTATACGGACGAGTTAAGTGAATTAAGACTTATAAAGCATGATGGCCATTCCTCTTTGCTGATGAAATCGGGCAGTTCGCGTCGGTACCGCGAGCTTGCGTCTAGAGCCGGAGTACCATCTTGCTGGGAGGGCTACGAGCTGTTCAGAAAGCTGGATCTGATCAGTGCCACATCACGCCCACCAGGACGACCTTTGAGTACAGGCCTTTGTCTTTTTTCATGCCGGTATCGACGAAACCACCTGCGTCTCAACCTTGTCAGTGACTCCCTAAACATCATTTTGCTGCTCCTAAAGCATCTTTTCTGCGAAAAATTGCACGTTCAATGTTCATGGCCAGAACGTGATCATTCTATGATGAGGAATGTTTCTTCCTGTAATTTTTTTTAGTTAGAGAAAACAATAAAGGGTTGCTGCCTTTACTCAAATGAGTTAGCAACTTTCTGCCTTTTTTGGATGTGCACTGTCTGTTGAGATGAAGTTGGAACGACATTTTTGCATACGATAGGATCGGCAAAGCTCTTGCCATTCCTACCGTATGCAAAACGTCGCATTCTTATCGGTTTGACAATCCGCCTCACCGACAAGTGCTGCTCCTTGCCGTCTTTTCGGTGGTTCACCCAGAACCACGGTCGACTCGCAGATGGACCATTTTAATAGTCCTACCCTGAGGAAGACTAGCCTATCCTTCCCTGATTTGTCTTTGATTGGATCTTCTGCACTGTATCGTTTAACCCTTTGACGACAATGCCGATTTCGACGTGATGCGTCCATAAGACCATGTCTTGTGGGTGCATGGTACCAGGAGGGACTCCTTCCCCTGGCTACATAAATTTACCAATATTTCCGCATAACAGAAGCAAGATCTTATTTTATCTTATAGAAAACTTAGGTTTGAGATTGCACTTCGGGTGTGAAAGCATTGTAGGTTAGGATTTTGGTAACACTGTGAGCAGTAGCGATTCGTATAACATCACGGAACTTGAGGATGAAGATGTCGACCGCGCGGTCCCATAATCGCAAATCAGGTATTCTAAGTACTGCCTACAATGCTTCCAAGAATCTTGCCAAAGTGTCTGAACCTTTTCCGTACTACTCCATCGAATATATATGTTTGTAATAAATAAGTTCCTATAAAACATTCATGAGGACCATATTGAATATAATTACCATGGAATTGGTTAATAAATATAAAGATACTAAATAAGTTTCAAATGTGCAAATAAAGGAAAAAACATGGTCATGAACACGTGCCATGGTTCCATGCGCCAGTCATAGTGGCACCCACCGGTGCGTGCCATGATCGTCAAAGGGTTAATAGCCTTATTCACGGATAATAAAAGAAACACACGAAATTTCATAACGTTTTTCCGCCGCCTAGGCTGTAGCATTATCGAACGCAGTGTTGGTTCCTCCCGTGAAACTGACTAGTATGCTACTGGCTGACTGGCGAAAAGTAAGCGGTTGGAGACGTATGTACAGCTAAATAGGAAGCATCGAGAAATGCTCTACGGCCTCGCCCATACAATAGCATGACGACAGACAGCAATTCATAAGAAAAACTTCGAACTAACATAAATCAAGAAATGAATTTAACGAAAACGCGAAAAAAACGTCTTATATGTAGGCAGAGGCTCCATGCTGAGATAAGTCGGTCGGGCTCGTGCAAACAATATCCGGGGAAGCATTCAAGATCAAATCGAGGTCCAGTCTTGGCCCAAAATCCCATAGGACTTGGCCCAGGATAAAGGGAAAATATTTGTTCCTTTCTATTTAATCTAGTTGGTCGTCCTAGAATTTATCACTTCTAGTTCGATGCTCTCAACAGCCATGTCTCACTGGATACCCACCATCTTAGGCACGGCTACGACACCCTTCAGTTTTCCGTTTTGAGGTTCATCATGCCATCACTTCGATGAGGACAGGTGCAGTATTATTCTTATTCTTATTCTTATTCTTATTATTATTACTGCTGGTAATATGAGTATCAATCATAATTATAACGACTGAAATAATTATATAAATGACAACAAAAACAACAAAATAACAATTTAACAGACTCCAACTTCTCTCTTGCTTTAACCTCGGCATAGCTGCTGTTTGTGATAATTATTATCTTGTGCCGAACGAGGTTTTTAGGTGGAACGATTTATTCGGTCAAACGGCCTAACATTTCGACGCAATCGTCGTCTTCAGAGGCCTAAACGTAATTTGAGGTGACTAACACGCCATCCAATAAGCGTCTTGACCCCTATTGCAAACAGAAGGTTTACTAGAAATCCGTAGTTTGCAAGCGACTCACCAATGTTACACCGCCCAAGCGGGGAAAATCCGCTGTCGCCACAGGGGACTGCTGTCAGTATCGAATGGCACTTGTTGTTGTTTTCCTTATATTGTGATAAGGAAGATCACGTTATAGTGCTACTGAGTCACAACTCGCAGTGCGGTATATATGGCAAAAATTCATTAGTTATGGACGTAGCAGTACAACGAGATCTTCCTTATCACAAGTATAAGGGAGACAGCAATAAGTTTCATTCGCTGCTGACAGTCGCCTGTGGCGACAGCGGATTTTCTCCACATGAGCGGTGGAACCTTGGTGAGTCGCTTGTAAAACATGGGTTTCGAGTAAACCTTCAGTTTGCAATAAGGGTCAAGACGCTTATTGGATGGCGTGTAAATCACCTCGAATTACGTTTAGGCCTCTGAACGACGATTGCGTCGAAATGTCAGGCCGTTTGACCGAATAAATCTTTCCACCTCGTGTGGCACAAGATAATAATTATCAAAAACAATTATAACAATAGTAATAACAATGATAATGCCAATAGTAACAGCTACGATATCAGTACTGATATTTTTTTAAAAAAAAGTTGACGTT